ATTCATAAACCTGCGGAAAAGTGCAAGTTTCTCCATTTTGATTATTTTGACGAGAGCCTGATTCCACCACGCTGCCTCACATTTGTTTTTCTTGCTCTCCATGGGATAGGCACAACACTGTCGCCTCAATTGTTATTTCCAGCTGTCTATTGATTGTTCACGCTTCGCACCCGTATAAATGGATTGGCTCGATGTAAGTTTTCAGTATTCTTTTTCTTGCTTCCAGTGACAGATTGCTGTTTGTAAGAATCTGTTTCATCTTGTTGAAGGTTGCTTTTGCTTTGCGAAATGCGACTTTTAATTTTGGGTGAGACATCTCCGATCTGATGATATAATGGTCCCTAATATTTAAAATGTTGTACTTGCCTGAGGGTGGTATCCTTGATTTTGATATTTCAGGTTGGAGTTGGAGTTTTTCTACGTATCACCATTGCTTCAGTTTTCTTGACCGCGTATTATACATGCAACAAAGAGGTACTTGGGCGTATGCCAGTGATGTCGCGGGCACCACAATGGAGAAGAAATGCCGAGAGGGTTTTAACATACTGCTACTTCAGAATTACACAGTTCTATCTACTCAGTATCTAGTTTTGAGAAATTTGACGTAAAAATGTTAAATTTCACAATATGTCCGATTGCAACGTTTTGAATGATGTCTTGATAACGACTCCGAATACCAGAGGAGACAGGATATTTATGAGACAGCGTGGTGGAATCAGGCTCTCGTCAATTTTGGGGCATGTAGAGTTATTGGTGTCATCTTAAAGCTTGTTCACTTGTGTTTCTTAAAATGAAAAAAATATTCACTTACCTTAAATACAAGTCGAGATATTTGCGAATGAAGGAGGTGGGGGTCACCTGTTTTCAGAGGTAAAATTAGTGAGAAAATGGCCGCCAAAGATTAGTTATTTCCTTAGCTTAGGAGTCCGTGGTAACTGAAAGTTTACATTTTTTGTGACTTTAATCAACGTTTTTCAGAAAAATCCACACAAAAATGAGTTCTTTCATGGGCATGAAAGGTGTTGAACCAAAAAACAAAAATTTGATTAAAATTCATAAACCTGCGGAAAAGTGCAAGTTTCTCCATTTTGATTATTTTGACGAGAGCCTAATTCCACCACGCTGCCTCACATTTGGTTTCAGACCTCATGGTTTTAGTAACTCTTGTAATTTAGTTAAATAGCACTTTGTAATTCTAAGATAGCGATTGCCTTTGGACATTGATGACTGTGCCATTTTCTTGGGTTAAACTCTAAGTTTCAGCACAAAATTTTAATTTTTTAATATTAATCATTGCCGTTGGGACGTTTTCCTTCTACAACTATCATTTCAAGTTATAGACACCAATCCGAAGAGGGAGATTTTGCATTATATTATTTTGATGTCAGACTATTATTTGACTTCACGCACGTGCTTGTGAAGCGCCCCCTCTCCCCTCCCACATCACAGCATGTCAGACATTTACTTCGTATTATATGCACAACTTGATACAAAAATGGCTGATTTTGAAGTCTAGTGCACTCCCCACCCCCGCAAAAAAACAAAAAAAAGCAAAAGAAAAAATAACAACAACAACAACAAACAAACAAACACAACAACAACAAATCAAATCAAAAAGATATCGTACTATACACGTTTGTTGCCTACACTTCAAACAGCACTTATACTTAGGAGAAGCATTGGAAACTACGTGTTCTCATTGGGAAAGTAGAAGAAAAAAGAGTTTGAGGCAGACCAGGAAAAACCTTCGCTGAGAACTTGAACAGATGGTTAACCGGAAAAAAACCCATAACACTACTGGGGGTTATTTTGAAGATAATTCGAGCTGAGAAATGATTGGCTATATGATTGCTGAAGATATGGGACTTGAAGAAGAAGCACTATACGTGTTTGTTTTCAGTTTCAGGCGATCGAGTCGGGCGATCGGCCCGATCCAGCTGTAGTGGCAATCAAAACAACATATTCTTGGTATGCACAAGGCAAGAACGATAAATCTACACATCCTCACGAGGTGTAGTCGATTACTCAATTAATCCTTACATCAGCTGACAACAAATTGAAGACCTGAGAAAAAGACCATGCTTAAATCCAAAATCTCAAAAACTGAGTTCTTGGTATCTATAAATGTTAATAGAGAAGACTCGCGCGTTAGTGCTCATGATCTCTACTGCTAATAGTGTCGCGCAAAAAAATTGGAAAAATTGCAGCGTATTTCAAAGTACATAATTATATACACAAGTCCATGGTATTTGCCTTTCTTCTCCGGTCAGCATAAATTACCTTAATTAAGCACTGTCTTGTTCTTAGGTCTTCATCTTTCTCTTTCCTCAGTGCCCCCATTTCTTCAGAGGCACCAGGCTTACATCCACGTTCAATGAACTCAGCTGTCATTGCTATGGGCTGCAATGTTACCACCTCGTAAGTCTATACAGATTTTGAGCTAAATAGAACCATCTCACTCTCTCTCTCTCTTTCGCTCTCTCTCTCTTTCTCTCTCTCTCTCTCTCTCTCTCTCTCTCTCTCTCTCTCCTCTGTCATTCTTTTTCTCTTAGATAATATTCTGGACATGCAAAAGATTATTAACATGAGTTTGGAGAAGTGTTGTGACCAATAAGAACTGTGTCTTAAAAAGGGCTACATTCGGATGAAGGTAGTGCGACTAAGGTCATGTTTCATCCTCGTCTTTTATGGTCAAAGTGTATGAAAATGAATGGTGTGAAGCATCAAGCTTCACGCCTGGCTTACGTTTAGAGAGAGGTTTTCGGAACATACACGAACTCTTGAATGTTGCATTCGGCTATTCTTAAAAAGTCAACACTAGCTAATCTTCTTTCTGAAATAAGTGATACAAACACGTCTTGGAAAATGTACTCATTCGAAGAACTTTTAACGTTTCTTATACGTAAGTCCAAGTATTGCCCTAGTGTCGATGTGCAATACTTTCAGCATAGAAAACAATGTGTCCG